TTCGCCCCGTACCGGATGCCCAGGCCGATGTTGAACTGGACGTTTTCTTCTAGGACTCTGGCCAATAGCGCATTCGGCGCTGTCGACGAGAGACCACCCGCGACGGCCAACTCTGGCGGGACGGTTCCGGATATCAGCGCGGAAAAGGTCTTGTCCAAACGGATCAAGTGCTGCGCGACAGGCCGCCGTTCGCTGTCGTACGTGTCCAGGATCGAGGCGTGGTACCAGCCCTTTAGCACCCCAGCCAGCTTCCACGCGAGGTTGAAGGCGTCGTGCACGCCCGTGTTCATGCCCTGCGCCGTCCCTGAGGAGTGGCTGTGGCAGGCGTCGCCGGCGAGGAGGATCCTGTCTTTAACAAAAGTATCTGCGAGGGAATGTCGCACGCTGTCATGAGAAGTCGGTTCTGGTCAGTGCGTTGTGGTTGCCAATCCAGTGCATCGCTCGTAAGCGAATAGAACAGTCCCTCCTTGGGTAGGGGAACAAGTCGTAGACTTGCAGGGACTCTTACTTGTATACCGTATACCAATCCACGCACTCGTATTCCCAGGAGAATGGCTTGACCGCCAGCTTGGCCTCGTCGACAGCTTGCTGCTGCGTCATGTTTTCGCCGTATTTAATCATCATATCCTGCGAAAGTGCGAATCCCACTCTCGTACGGCCGTGGTCTAGCGCTGCGCAAAACACGTTGCCGTGTGTGGGTGATTCGAGATGCGCAAAGCCTTCGCGAGAGTCTGGCATATCCGTCTCCACAACACCGTCGACACGCACCCAGCGGAGGGTTGTGCTATCTGCGGCTGACGAGATATCGGCGAGGTGACGGACAGCAGAGTGGGCACCGTCAGCGCCGACGAGGTAGTCTCTGAAGGAATTCAGTTCCCGCGTCACATAATAACCTCGTCCATATCGACACTCATGGGGAGCGGATAGGGAATAGAGGAGGCCGCTAACACTCACCCAGCAATTGTCCGGACTTCTGAAGTATCAACGTTCTTGGCTTCAACCTTTACTGGACAGGCGTGGCCGTTCTTATCCCCCTCGTGATCAGCCTGTGCGGTCAAGCTCATCAACTCCCATCCACTCGCAACAACTCCGCCAAGTTTCTCGTACTCGGCCTTCAAAATGTCCTCGGAGTACTTCAAGCGGATGTTGAGCATGTAGTCCAGAAATGTATGTCCCTGCATGGCGTCAAAAACATGGCGCATACCCCGTGTGTTGTCTCGTCTCCCATCCTTGTCGTAGTTGACACCACTTCGCGACACGAATCCCACCTGATTTAGGCGCGTGAGAAGGTCATACTGGTCGAACATTTCCAATGTGCGGGGGAATAGTGTACATGCGCGGCCGTACATGGGCAGCTTCTGCTTTTCGAGTCGCTCTGTCTCCGTAGAGGTGTAAATGTTATGGTCAGCGGGAGAGGGGAAGAGAACAGAGGCATGGCGGACAGTAATCAGAATGTCGCTCTTACCAACAACACAGGTCTTGATGTCCATGCGCTGCAGCCCATAGGCTGTCAACAGGCCCACTGGCCCTCCACCACATATCACCACATCGTAGCGATCTCTGAAACCAGGCATAGTAGTCTTGTCAGAAAGCACACCGTCGATTCTGCGTGTGAAGTCTTGGAGGCAGTATAGATTAGTTGGCTCGAGATGTCCCGCCGAGGACTGGCAACAGACTTATAAAATTGTACCACCTTTTTAACTTGCCATGTGCTCTGACAGGGGTGTCTGCTATGGTCTATTGACCTCATCCAAGGCTGCCACGACACGACGGGAGGCCTTGTACAGCCCCGCGCTTTGGGCAAAGCTCACAAGCACACATGGCGTCGGTCAAGCAGGTGAAGACTGTCACCAGGAGATCCGTCTCTGTCCTAGGCGAGAGCTACTCTGGGGCTGGATAGAGGAGGGCGTCTGCAGTGTGAGATTCATTACGAGCCATCTTCATTGGAGCTTTGGCGGTGAGACAGAGGTTACGCATTGTAAGTGGTGTTCGAAAAAGGAAATGGCTGCGGTCTTGCAGACCTTATGACTGATGATAGAGTAATAGAATAGTCCGAGAGCAGAAGAAGGTGTGGGATTGAGTGCATTGGGCAATGTTGGTGGTGAGAAAGGAGGTGAAGAACATGAAAGCAGCGTATGTCACGTGCCGTGGCTGATGACATTTTGCAAATCATGGTTGAATTTCGCTGCGCGGCAGATGCTACTTTTCCACATCTGTACTCGGTACTCTTTACATACATGCACAATCACGCTATTAATAATTAAAGATAAAGAGGTATTTCCCTCCAATTACGCCTTCTTCTCAGGCTTGCCCTTTTGCGCCTTGTTCTTGTTGTCCCCGGCATCCTCATAATCGCCGCCAGCTGCTTCGTATCGCCGCGCCAGTTCGCCGGCTTTCCAGGCAGACCATGACCCTTTGCCTCCACCTGATGATCAACCAACAGAACGTCAGCTATTCAGAGGACGCGAGAAAGGTAGCCAAGGATGGCGGAAAAATGCCTGGGCGAAGATGGAACAGGACAAGCCCATGGACACGAGGGTTACAAACCTTTCTCCATGTTCTTCACTTCCTCCTTGATCTTCTCCCGCAGTTCAGGGTCGGTTGGGTTCCCCTTGGAGCTGGGCATGGTCGTAATTTCCTGTCAGAAGACAAATCCAGATGTGAACTAATTGATCAACGTGCAATTGTTTGATGTATTTCGAGCAAGGTTATTAAAATGTTGGCTGCTCTGGTGGAAGAATAGAGGGTGATAGTGTGGGTATTATGTCTTGGAGCATCAACCGATTTTTGGGGATTGCCTCGGTCGCTACCGGGGCGCGAAGAGACTGAACTTCCCCGATGTCGACGACGACTGACTACTTCTGGGACTCGACGTTCTCGAACTCGTGCCAGACGTTGACGTGGTTGATATTGAACTTGTTCTTTCTTTGATCTGGCTGCTTCCTCCCTTCGACGACGGATCTGATGGTGAGGATTCAGAGGCTTTCCTTAGGATTTGGCGCAAGGCCTCCTGTGCAGACGAGGGGCTTTCAGTGGCACTCGTAGAGCGAAAAGTTGGAAAGCGAATCATGGTTGGGAAGGGGGCAGAGGGACTAATAATGGGGGAGATATCGTGTTAAGTCGTCGGGAGGGTTTGGCTTTGTGCTGAATGCAGGGTCGATGTCGTTATAGATCTGGCCTTGAGCTGGTTTTAAGACTAGGAATCGAATGTGGAATCAGGCTTATCTGGTGCCTCGATATTTGCGATATCCGATATGCGATGGGCGATCTGCAACCAGGTGGAGACTCGATTGCACGATGATAGCGAACAAAGGGATCGTAGGGCAAAAGGCAATCGAGGAGATGTATACGTCACTGAGTGATAAGTGTGCTGTTGATTGTGTGAGAGTTCGATCTGCGCCTTGGTGTCTCGGGTTGTGGCTGGCCTTGTGCTGCAGGCTCCTTTTCCCATGCGACAGCAAGAACGAGGCCTTGAATATGTTTCTTGTGTGGCGTGGCTAAAAGGCAAAGGAAGAGAACAAGCTAGAAGCACAAAATTTGCCCCAGTCGAGGTTGAGGCTGAGTACTTGTACTTTGTCCTAGGATGTTTCATGCTGGTGGTGCCTCTTCTCCTCGTGCCTCCACCTCCCCATTTTCCTTTCTGGACTCGATCCATCTCATCGGACCAGGGATCGCGATTGGAGAGGGCGAATCCGCATGCGCTAGCCGCCCAATCGGGGTTGGATGACGATGATCTTTGCCTCAGCACGAAAGTGCCACCAAGAAACCTGACGAAGCTGGCGGGGGATGGCAGCTGTTCCGGTTTGAAGCCTCGGGCTCTGGAGCAGCCATCCGGCCAAATCAAAGACACGCGAGACACGTTGGGGCGTTTCTGGCGCGTGCGGGATGACGGGTCCACAAAGTCACTTGACTGGCAAAAATCAAAGAGCCGACAATGGTGACCCCATGATTCTCTCCGCGATCGAGGAGGGTATTGCCTTGCAGGTTTTGCCAGGCACCATCAAGAGATCTCTTTGATCCGTGTCCGTCATGGGTCATGGATTAGGACATTGTCGATGAGACGAAGCGAGGGGCAAACAAAGCAACTGGTGGCTGGTGGTGGCACTCGAGTACCAAAAGAAATAAACGATGATGACCGAAAATGACCTCATCTGTGCGCAGCCTCGTGTCCCACTCTCAGCCAATGACAAGCGACGAGGCTGAACACAATCAGTGCCCGGTCCGAGGCTTTTCCTGAACACAGCGTATTGGGGGCATCAGAGTGGTTTCTCACTTGTCCAAGTAGATTGTTTTTTGACTCTTGAGGCATTTGACCAGAAAAGACTCTGAAACAGAGTGTGGCAATAGCCAATGCTGGCAGCACCAGGCGAGGATATGTACCTCTTCGCATCGAGTGGTGACAAGTGGCTGTGTAAAACATGTCCCGTGATTGGTGGTGGCGCTGGGACCGGGACACGTATCGAATCTCCTTGCACAAGCATCGCACGAAAGGGCTGGGTGTTTGGACGAGATCCGTTTCTATGCGATACGATAACGAGGTCCACGTCCGCACTGTCGAGCACGCATCCTCCCTACCCGCACACTCTTTGATGCCATAGCTTTATCGCTTCTCGTCTGTAGCAATGTCGCTCGTTGCAGTGTATACAAGGTACTCGACACTATTAACCGGATACCGATGCTTTTATTGTTCCGGTATGTGTGATAAGATGAAATGTCTAAGCTGCCCTGTCCAACCACGAACCCACCAAAACAGAGCCCAAGATCTGCTACAGATCTGAGGCCTGATATTTGAGATGAACGTTTGTCAGTAAAAGAGAGATCGAAGCCACAGACTTAGTAGAGCCAGTAACAATAGTCACATCACCCCTGTGGGGGAAGCTCAGAAGCACTCGAATTCCCGCGCTGGGAGCAAGCGTTGCCTTAGCACAGTAGGTTCAGCACAATCCTGGCAACTCACTTCCGCCCTTTCCCCACAGACCTGTATACCTCGTTCCCCTCGATTACAACTTTGCTTCCACACTCTTCTCCACACTCTTTACCGAGCCCTCAACCTCCTTCTCCATTTCCTTCAAGGCTTCGGTGGTGCTGCCCTTTTGCGAAGCCTGATACATCAAGATACGGCTGACCTGGACGGTACCAACAAGGAAGAGACAGAAGTTGACAGCAGCAAGTCTGTTGAGTTGATATAGTGTCAGTATTGCCAATTCACAGACTGTACACATTGAATCATGCATATTCTAGATATTGTAGAAGTCCCATGGATAAGCGGGGGAAAGTCAAAACTCACAGCAAGTTCTTCGGTCGAATGATAAAGCACCATCTCGTCCAGATGGAGCCTGTGGCCATGAGAGCCAAGTTTTGTGTCAATGACAGTTTCTCGGCTGGGCGGAGGAAGTCTGATGCGCCTGCAAGGACGACACCCCATTTCATGATAGGAGCCCTGGAACAGCGACCCGCGTTAGCATCCGTGTATTTCGTTGTCCAGCCAAACTACCACATATTTCCAGGTATCCAAAACGCAGGTAAGCAATCTTTGTACGAAAGCGCTGGAGTCATACCAGAAATGCACTGTTTTTATGCCGACCTCACTGGTCCAAAGTCTCTGAAACAGAGATTGCTGCGGCGCACCCTCAACGGCCGGGTTCGCCGCAGTGCCCTGCCATCGTCGAAATACGGGGTTTCTCAGCTGGAAAGGTGCACGGGAAGTGAAGGAAGTCGTGGATTGTCTGGCGGTTTGCTGCGCAAAGCGCAGTCCGAAGCGGGCGACCATTGCGAGGATGATCGGGTGCGCGTGCTGCTACACGGGGTGAGCTTTGGCCCTGGCAGTACTGCTGGCGATAGTGACACGGAGTCTAGCGACGGAGGATGGTAGTAAAGGAGTGGAGATTGTCGCACTTGTAGAAGTCGATATCAAAAGGATGAAGTGAAGAGAAGTGAGTCAATCGAATTGCTGGGGTTTCGGAGGATGAGGAGAAAGTCAGATCTCCGGCAAATCGTTTTCACAATCTCCGTTCTCGCTCAACACCGAAGTCCGTGTCTGACATAATAAAACCAGCATTACCTTGAATTCCATTGCTCGGAAACAATTTCTGTCAGACTGAAAGATTTCTGTCTTTCGATACCGCCAAGGTCCAATTCGTGCTCTGAACCAGCACTCACTAAACGTCGAACCTCATGCGCCAGAAGCTCCCTACATACGCACAGTTGACACTCGGCTAGATCTGGGGTGCCCGCGATGGCCACCAAATATGCCTTTACCCAAGGCTTGAGGGAGTTGAGATTTCACCTGAGCAATTCGGGTCAGGGAAGCGATGCCTGCAGGTGCGTACCATAAGCCGCAGCAGCATTCAAGACTGCTTCAAACGGCATGCTGAACTGCGATTTAGATCCTTCCTCAAGCGAGCATACCCTACCATGAAGCACCACAATCCCAATATTCCTATCTTAATACGCGAAGCTACGGGCGTTGAACCAAAGGTGTGGGCAAGATACGGTATGAACTCTGGATCACGACACACTGGCACTGCAAAGGAGGCTGATCGCTTTAATGATACAGGGTTCGGAAGAGAGAAGTCAGAGTCATTATCAGGTGAGTTCCCTGCAGCAGAGAGAGCTAGCGATTGGTTCTTACACATGTGGCAGGTCTTTCGGACAAGGAAATAGAGGACAAAGTCACGACCTTGGTCAAGAGCGAATAAGCCATGTGAACGAGCTTGGGTCAGCCCTAGCTCGATCAACAGGGAATGTATAATACCCAGTCTACTTGGACAGGGAGGAAAGCTATCGACCAGGCTCGGCTGCGCCGGATAGAAGAACAGTCTGGCAAAGAATACTTGATTGTACATACGACTGAATGCCAACAGCCAAACCAGAAAAAATACAACTTTTGCACCGGCTCTATAATTTCACGCTTCGACCTCTCCAAATCTGAATTGAGCCCAACCCATGCTCGCCTCCTGCATTGTCCACAGTTGCTTTCCCTGATCCGTTCCGCTGGCACCCACGGCGATAAGAATCGGCAACAGATGCTCAAAGGTCGGATGGGCCTGTCTCGCATCGTCCCTCTCCAACAATTCATTCATCGCTTCGTCCCTCCGCTCTCCCGGCTTTGTCTCCGCCGCAACCTTCAAGGCTTCGTCAAACGTCACCGCATAGGGCATGGTTCTATTCGAACCCCTTCCCATCATCATGAGGTGTCGCAGATTGTGCACGCTCATGCCCGAGCAAATGATGAGAACATTCTCCTCTCGTAGTTTCTGGACCGCCCGCCCGAGTCTGATGTGCGCGGCCGCGTCAGTGTGGTCGTCGAAGAGACTGACTTGCACGATCGGCACCGTCACGGGGTTCGTGTCGGGATTGAACATGACTTTGAAGGGGACGAAGACCCCGTGATCCAACCCCCTCTCGGCCTTTTGCGTCTTGATCCCATGCTCGCTGAGGGCGTCTATGACCTGTTGAGCCAGCTTCGCTGAGCCTTTGTTGGGGAACTTCTCCTGGTAATAACTGCGAGGGAACCCGTAAAAGTCGTAGAGCAGCGGCTCGTCTTCGGCCACGTTGACCTCGATCGTGTTGGGCCGGTCAGCTTGCCAGTGCGCGGAGAAGACCACGATGGCCGAGGGCTTCACCTGCTGCGTGATTTCGCGGCCGATTCGCTGCAACTGTGGGTAGACGGGGTGTTCGGTATTGAACATGGTGTCCGGACCCTAAGCCAAGGTTGGTCAGCAAACAAACAACCCAGCAAAAGAGGTCTCCCAGACAGCAAGCGAGGCAGCAGAAGAGGGGACTTACGCCATGGGAGACAAAGTATACGGGCGTCCGTTTGGCCATTTCTCCTCTTGCAGCACCGGAGAAGGATCTGGTCAATACCGAGAGCGACCTGAACGGGCTGAAGATGCGCGCGGCCGCGGCAGCCACTTTGTTGTCACTACTGTCGCTGTCTAATGATGTCCACAGAGACCACGGAGTGTTGGACTGCGCAATGGCTCCCGCAAGGACGAGGATGAGTATCGATATAGCAAATGTGACTGTCGCAACCCTGGTGGTGGTGGTAAAGCGCGTGTTAGTTGGAAGCATTCATTCAAAGGCCGAAACGGGACCTGCGATTTCTCTTTCCAGTTCCTCGATTGATGTTGTGCAAAAGCTTTATAGACTTGGCTTCCTCTCGATTATGATTCCTGGATCTACGCCCCTCTATATTATACCACAACGTGCTCGGAACGAGGCCCTTACGGCAATGGATGCAGGGCTTGTGCTGAGTGGAATCAAACATTATCTAAGCGGTTCGCTGGCGGTTCGCTGGAAGAGCGGAACATCTCCGTTTTGGCTTTGGTAATAATACAAAACTCTACATGCCAGTACCTCGAAGACATATGCAGTAGTATTACTGGTAATACCGAGTATAATTATCTAGGAATCAGTATGCTGAGCCACTTCCTTCTCGGCCGATAAAACGAGTGTATTCTGTCTGGCTTCTCAAGTAGGGGAGGTTTCCCCGGTCCAGCCTTGTCCAATCCAGGATTCAAGCAAGCGGCTTTCCCCCTCTTCCTTTTGTGTAAGGAGTACTCGTATCATTCAGTCGTCACTTTTAATGGTCTGTGCACCATCACTCCGGGCACTCTCTTGCAACCAGCTAGGCCAGCCTCTTATGAATGGCACAAAGTTGAATCGGGCTGGAAGAATAAGCTGATCGCCTTCACATTTGAGCACCTGCGAGACAACCGCTTCTGCTACTGTGCCTGGTTCCAGCACCACCTGATCCGAAGCCATATTCTTGACCAAGTTGCGGGCAAGTGGCGTCCGTACCCATACGGGATGCACAATCCTACGCATCCTGGTCAGTACATGGTCGAATGGAGACAGAATCGACCTACGTTGTGCGGACTTTATTCGCACCATATCTCGCCCTGAGTTCCTGCGACAACCCCTCGTGGAAGGCAAGTACTGCTGCCTTGGTCGCGGCGTAGCTGGTGACGCCAGCCCATGTCGCAAAGCTCGACATGCTGGCAATTGTGACCACATGACCATGATTCTTCTCGATCATGTCCGGCAAGAACTCCTTGACCATCTTGAAATGGGCCAGGATGTTGACGTCGAAGGTGCGTTGGAGCTGCTCCTCTGTTTCGTCGAGAATGGTTCTCGCATTGGCAACACCAGCATTGTTGATGAGCACTGTCGGGTCTCCAATGTCCTTGCGGACTCTCGCCGCAACGTCCCGAATATCTTGGGACGAAGTAACATCAGTCTTGTAGAATGTGGCACTGGGCGGTAGTGGCGTCTGAGGAGGATTAACATCAAGAACCACGACTTTGATGTTAAGTTCGCCAAACTGCCGAACCATCTCCTGCCCGATTCCAGAGGAGCCGCCACTGATCATGACAATCTCGCGGTCCCAGTTCCATGTCGTGTCTTTTACAAAGTTATTGAGCACTAGCCGGCTGAGATATCTGTTCAACCTATACAGGACACTAAATGTGAGAAGTCCCCCGAGGGTTCGATTAACGACTTTGGGCTGAAGTGCACCCGTTCCAATGGCCGAAAGAGCTCTTTGGAATCCCTCGGGGTATCTCAGGTGCAGCAGAAGAAGGGCAGCGGGGACGATTGGTTGCAGTAAAACATAATGGACGGGTCTAAAGAGGTATTCGAGAGTAATCCCTTCTCTCGGCGGTTGTAGAACTGACATAACGGACGCTTGGAGCAACTAGAACGGTTTTCTGGGGAGGCCTCGTAGATGACATTAACTCGAGTTGAGCAGAAACTGATTGCTACCGGGGAGCCTCCGCCTGAGTGTGCCATACTCGTCGACTTGCTCCATGTCATCTCTATTTCCCTACCAGTGGTGTCAGGGCATGCGACAGGGGTTTGTCGGTAGGCCTGATGAGCTGAGAAAGGGGATGGAGTTGTGGATGTTGATTGTCTTGGAGCAAATTTACTAGCGCAGTTTTGGGGGCAGGCGAAGGGGGGTGAGAAATGACGGTTCCTTGCTTGCCTGCCACTACTAACTGCCTGCGTGCCTCCCTGCGCCGGCGCAGTCACGGTTTGTCAGAGGCCAATGGCCCGTGACCAAACACCGCACCTCACTGTCGCAGGTAAAAAAGGCTCCCTCTTTCAAAGCAGACCACTTCACCCTGTGCGCCGTACCGATTACGCTGCTTCAATCGAGTGCCCAATTTCCTCTTTGTCAATACTGTCTCTCTTCGAACCATGGGGCGCACCATTGACCAGGATGTGCATGCGGCATTCGTCGAGTTCAAGGCCAAAGGTACGTACGTAGTATTGTCACCTTCAGTATTGACTGTACTATACCTCTTGTACGCGTATCACGATACAACATACTGTACTGTGACGATAGACGAGAGGAGCAGCTGACTGATTCGTGTCTCCACACAGAGGACGATAAATGCATGTCTGTTCAATGCATCTATTGTCAACAGATCCGTGCAAAGAACACTTCGCGCCAGAAGCAACATCTGCTCGAGTGTCCTGGCCTACAGAACCATCCCAATGCCACTCGTCCACAATCGTCTCCTGGCGATGCCATCAGCGCTCCCAATGGATACAGCACTCCCTCCATCTCCCACAATGCGACTACCCCCATGAACAATGGCCTCACTACCAACGGCACTCCCATGCAAGGAATGTCCAATGGCTCGACCATCCCGCCGCCTCCCGCTTCTACCACCCCTAGCCAACGTCACACCCCAAAGCCCACAAAGGCTCCCAAGACCACTCCTGGCTCCAGCCTCCCCGCGCCACCTCTCGATGATGTCCATGCTGCTTTTGTCGAGTTCAGAGCCAAAGAGGAGGACAAGTGTTTGTCGGTACAATGCATCTATTGCAACCAGATCAGGGCCAAGAACACATCGAGACAACGCCAGCACCTCCTCGAGTGCACAACATATCAGAATGTCATGAAGGAGTCAATACCTGCAAACAACCTTCTTCACAGATTTGATGAAGGTGATGTGGCCCGTTCGCTCCAGCTACCCACCCCAACCCTTGAACTTGACTTCCGCATGAGCATCAAGGTCAATCCTAAGATTGGCGTTGGGTCAGGCCTGTTCGGTCAGCGCGACTGGGTCAGCATTGTTGGGGGACAATGGGCTGGACGATGGGGCAAAGGTATTGTCATTGTACGTCGCATCCTGTCAATACCCCATAATCATTCATCAACTGACCCTGCCTCTAGCCTGGTGGTCAAGACAATCAACTAGTCGTCAAGGACCTTTCTGCCCGCAGCGATGCCAGCTATCTGCTCCAGACCAATGATGACCCTCCAGCCTACATCACAGCAAGGTCCAAGGGTTGGCGAACAGGTGCCAAAGATATTCTCGAACGACTCAACGACCCCACGGTGGCAGACACCATTCCGGCCAACCAATACAAGTTCCGCATCACCGTTGAGCTCGAGACTGGCGATGAGAGATACGCGTTTCTGAACACCTGTCTTTGGTTGGGAAGTGGAACTCGGAGAGTTGGTGAGAGTAAGTCGTGCCTTGACCGGAAGATAGTTCATCCTGCTAACGCCCGGACAGTCATCTATGATGCGTACAGGGTCGGCTAGAGTCCTGAGCCTGAAGAACTTTCTCCCACCGAAGCTTCATTGTTATATTTCGAGGAACTGCTATGGGCCTACGAAGAGAGCGTAGGGGTGGCCATGATTGGATGCGGACCTCGGACATATTTGTGAATTCCTCACTTCTTTATATCGCGATGGCAGGCGACCATGCTCGAATCATGTCCTTATTATGTATTTTCTAGGGCGCTCAACGGCGATGAGACACAGGCGCGGGGCGGAGCAGGAAGAGCAGTAATGGGACAGCTGCAGTGCGGCATGCTCCTGGCTACTTGTAGCTCTAACCGGCGGTCGGATTTGATGGATGAACAATAGTTCAGCGACGGCATGGACAAGGAGGACGCTGCTGTCCCTGGGATCGGACGGTATTGCACGACCGAATACAGAGCGGCCGAACCCGGGTTGCCTATCGAGCATCCTTACTAGGTATGAAGCACACACAGGATTTCAATGACTGCAATAATGTCCAAGTCAGAGACATGTTCATTTTATCCCTGTCCCCCCTCCCCCTTTATGAAACATTGGGCGAGTTGGCTCGTTATCAAATCAACGTTTCTCGGTACAACACAGACCGGAACTCGTTTCAGGTGGCTGGCTGTTTCTCGAAACGACATACATACATACATGGTATTACAATAACGGTACATTGTGTATACAGTCAGTATGGGGAGGATGGTGAAGATGATATCGAGGAAACGAGAACCCCTCTGACGAGGGAGCGAGAGTGGGAGATAGGTCTTCCGCCTCCTTCCTGGCTTGGGGGGTTTCCGTCGGGAAGCAGACCAAAACCAGAACCAGGGAGGGAGGGGGCTCTCGTATCTACAGTGTAGATAACTAGCTAGGACCGCCTGGGGCGCAACTGCTGAGTTCTGCTGGTCGATTTGTCCTTCTTCGCATTGGTTCCGGCGCTGTGCTCGCGCGCGCTCCTTATCTTCTTTCCATCGGACCCTGTATCATGGCCGTTCTCTCCGTCAGCGTCTTTCTTGTCGGGTCTCGGCTCTCCTTTGGTGTCGGAGGCGAAGGACACGTCCATGTGCTTGCCACCCAGGTACCGCCAGAGACGCCAGACTTCTTCGATGACGGCCTTTGCCGGACCGGGTATGGGGCGTACCAGAAGAAGATAGTCCGCCGTCTTGGGGTGCTGGAAGATTGACTCTCTCTCAATCAGCCTATGGAGTTCTTCCAGGTCAGAGACTCCCGGTGCCGACATATTCGCGAACAGACGAGGAAGCGAGAAGACTGGGAACCGATATGTATCCAGAACGGTGATCATGGGAGGGATCAGGGGGTTATTTGACGGTAATGGTGGGAGGGGCGATGTCGACGGGTCCGAGGGATAAGGAGGCGCGTCGTCCTCGTTGCCAACGTGTAGAAAGACGCTTCCGGGGAGCCACTCGGAATGGCCAAGCGTGTAGTAATCTGGTTCTTGGGCGGTGAGAGGAGCGAATTGAGCCGGCATGGAAAGGCCGGCATCCGCAGTGGAAGGAGTTCCGGCTTGTGCAGACAGTTCTTCTTTTGGTTCACTTGTAACGGCTCGAATTCTGATACCGGCAGATACGGCCGAAGATCGTGATCCCCTCATCAACCGTCGCAGCTCTTCACCCTTGAAATTCCCACCCCGAGGTGTCGGCAGGGCAATAACACCCAATGGCCTGACGGGGAGCGCCTCGGATTTGGCAACCGACTCCGAATCTGCCAGCATCTTCATTGCAACGAGAATGCGTTTTCGCATGATATCCACGATCCGAAGATATATATCAGGCTGCCATTGCAACCTGTTCAAGTTGAACCTAGTTTTCCCTTGCTCGGCGGAGGATGGATCCGAGTCCGTTTGGTGCTCCTTTTCTGTACCTTGCCCACTAGCCAGCGCGTCAAAACGATACTTGTTTTGCAGGTAGTGCTGCGCGGTTGACGTGGACTCACGGGCGTCGAAGTGGACTAACTTGCCCACCTGGCCGGGAATCGTCTCGAGTGTAGTTGGCGATGAAGATCTGGACACTTTCCTGGTGGGTTGAGTTGCTTGGTGGGTCACCAGGCGCAGGAAAGTGATGTTGGGCAAAAGGCGGCTCTGTATAGGGATTTGTCTTCGAGGTGTTGATGGATAGTTGGTGGTCATCTGGGCGGCTTCTGTTGGACCGCTTAGTGAATCGTCTGCACCACCATCACCTCCCACGGGTCCATCTTTGGCGATAAAATGATGGCCTGCCTTCATCTTAGTCACATTGTCGAGTGTTCGTGATTGACCCTCCAATATCGCCAGTTCTTCTGCCAGTTTTGCTTCTAGAGCATCGACGTCCGCAAGCTCTGCAGGCATGAGATATATCTTGCCGTCTCTTTCGTTCTTGACATATCCAAAGTCCAACAAAAGGTCGGCTGGCAGTCTTGCGCCGCTACCTTGACAAGCTCGGATAGGGCTCGCGAGAATTTCCGCCCACGGGTTATTCTTTAACCCTTTGATGCGTCGATAGGATGGGTGCTCTTTCCTTTCCTCACGTCGTCTTGCCTCGGCGGCGACCTGTGCGGTGATTGGTGACTCGGGAAGTAAAGGTATCTCTCCTCGAAGGCGCATATCAGTGCCATCTTCATCCCTGGATAGGACCCTTTTACTTATATCTTCAAGTTCCGTGAGTATGTCCTTGATAGCTTGGTGTCCTCCGGCATTGGTCGCGTCCGAAGACTCTTCCTGGGTAGAGTGATACTTTCGCAGGGGAACGCTGGTCGATGGCCGCGAATGTGGGCTATCTTGCGTATCCACGTCCGCGGGTGCATCAAGATTTAGCGACCTGTGTGGTCCAAAGCTGTAGGATTCTGCACTTTCATTCCCTAACTGGATCTTCTTGCTTGCTTTCTTCAGGTCCGAAAGTAGCTCTTTGATGGCTCGACGACTAGGTTCGCTGAACGGACTGAAAGATCCCCCTCGCGGGGATTCTTTCTTGTCTGGTTTCGGGTGAGACGGAGCTTCCGGTGCTGACCCATCGTGTGTCTTTGGTTTGTCACCGTCCTTGTCCTTGGGCGTGGATTGAGAAGTCCTGGCATTGGTCTTGCGCGAATGAGACCTGACATATTCTCGTCGGAGGGAGACTGATGGTCCGGGGCGAGGGTCGTCG